GCCAACGGTCAGAGCTGCCGCATCGACCTGCACTGCCGCAACCCCTTTCCCGGCGGTGCCCTGGGCCCAGCTCTGCCCGACCTGGGCATTGACGTGACTGTGCGCACAGCCCAACCCCCGACCACCTCGCAAGCCTGCATCAAGGTGGGCGCTGCCCTTCGCCGAGCCGAAAAGGAGAAGCGCGACTACTACACCGGTTTCAACCATGGAAAAACTCTGATCGTCCCTGCGGCGATGACGACAACCGGTGGGTTCGCCTCCTCCTTTGTGGATCTGCTTGGTCAGCTCGCCCGCTGCGCCGAGGCCCGTGGTGTGTACCAGCCGGGGCTGGATGAGGCCTTTGTTCCTCGGTGGAAGGGTCGCTTTGCGGCTCTGGTCCATCAGATGAACGCTGACCACATCCAGCGCCACTTTGGCGGTGTCTGCCTGCGCTCGTCGTAGGTAGGCACCGCCTCGGGGGTCCCTCTGTGGGGATCCCTGTGTGCACCTGTCACTCCCTAGGTGGTTCTCGTTGTGTCTGTTGATGGCTTGACTTGTATTTTTGTCTGATTTTGCTTTAATTTTTGCTGTATCTGTGTGGTATTTTTGCTGAATTTTTGTAAGGTCCTTTGTATGATGTCTTTGTCTTCTGTGGTCGGTTGTTTTCTCAATCCGACGTTGTGTCTCGTTGGATGTGAGCGTGCCGTGGTGTTCTTTGTGTTTGTGCTGTGATGCTTGTACTTGTGATGTATGCCTGTCTTTTTTGGGTGACTAGTGTTTGGAATGGCCGTATCTCTGGTTATACTTGGTCGTTTTGTACGATTTTTGTTTCTATGTGCGTGGTTCTTCGCGCTTGTACTCCTCGGCATGATAGAAGCCGATAAATGTAACTTGTTCTCTTGTGTTGTTTTGCGTGCCGTTGTGATTTTGATGTCGGGGTTGCACAGCTTTGCTTTCAGCTCTGAGGTTCAAACACCTAATTTATTATCACCTGGTTCAAACAGATGGGCGCCCTCTTCCTCCAGACCACTCGTCACGACATTACCCAAGCCTCTCAGGCTCTTCGCGACCAACGCATCCGCACGGCCGACGACTTTCCTGTCTACCGCTCCTCCATCACTGCTGCCGTCGACACCCTTCGCATTGAGGGCGCCTACTCGGCAACCCTCGTCATCGCCCAACTGGTTGATGGCCTGCCTTCAAAACTCAGGGACGTGATTGCAAACCTGTATCAACCGTCTTGGGATTTGGGCAAGTTCTTTGAGGTGGTGACTGCTAACCTGCACAAACTCACGCCTGCTGGTGCCCGCGCCGAACCTAAACAGGGTGCCTTTGCTGTTGAGCATGGTGGAGGGCGCGGGCACGGGCATGGCCGTGGACGTGGTCGCGGACGCGGTCGTGGACGTGGTCGTGGCCGTGGTCGCCATGGTATACACCACGGGCCCCACCCAAAGAGTGAGCGCGTCAATGCCAACTGTGAATTTTGTCGCATCTATGGCCACGATGTATCTCAGTGCCGCAAGAAGCGCGCGTACGAGAAGCACAATGGCAAGCAGTTTGCGGCCCCCGTCATGACCGCGACCTTGTCTCTTCCACCCCCCTCCCATTTGCCTGCTGCACCTGCTGCTCCTCCTTCCCATTTGCCCGCTGCTCCTGCTGTGAATTATTCGCCCGCACAAACACATTATCGTCACCACGAGTTGTTCTTGACTTGTTTGTCAGCCACCAACCTGGCCACCAGCAATCGTGCATTGGTGGACAGTGGTGCCACTGCTCATTTTTTTGTTGATCGTGATTTATTTCGTGATCTTGCTCCAAGCTCTGA